CCTCTCTTACCCCTTAATTTTATTTTTTAAAATATCATCCATTTATATTCAACTCATACCTGTGCCCTCTATCAATATGTACTCCTTCTAACTGCCCTAATAACAAGAAATTTCTTATGAGTTACAAGTATCTTCTCCTGTAGGAATATAAATAGTTTAACCTTATTAATGTCTCTTATGATTTCTCTTTCTGTGTACGTTTTTATGCTTCTCTTAAGTCTTGTATTTGAAAGTCAAACTTTCTATTCATCTCTGGTCTTTAAACATTCTGTAGTTATTTTATTTTATTTTTTTGTTTTTTGGTGAGGCAATTGGGGTTAAGTGACTTGCCCAGAGTCACACAGTAAGTGTTATGTGTCTGAGGCCAGATTTGAACTCAGGTCCTCCTGACTCCAGGGCCAATGCTTTATCCATTTTGTCACCTAACTGCCCCTCTGTAGTTATTTTAAATAGAATTTCTCTTTATGTCTCTGCTGGGTTTTACATAGCAGTGCTGATTATTAATGTTAATTACTTTATATCCTGAAACTTTGCTAAATTTACTGTTTTGGTAAATTTTAGTTGACTCTCTAGGGCTCTCTAAATTATCTTATATCATCTAAAAAAAGATCCTTGTTTTCTCTTTGCCTATACTTATTGACTCTATTTTTCTTGTCTTATTGCTATAAATAACACTTCTAGCACTATATCAAATAGTAGTGGTGATATTGTAATATCCTTGTTTTACCCCAGTCATATTGGAAAGGCCTGTAGTTAACTTCCATTATCTATAAAGTTAGCTTTTGGTTTTAAATAGACGCTAGTTGCCAAATTAAATATAGGTACATTTATTCCTGTGTTTCCTAGTGTTTTTTTTTTCCCAACAGAAGTGGATACTGTTTTGTCAAAAGCTTTTCCTGTATCTATTGATTTAATCATGTAATTCTCATTGTCTTTGTTATCAGTATGATCTATTGTATTAACAGTTTTCCTAAGATTGAACCAGACCTGCATTCCTGGCATGAATCCAACTGGCTGTAGTGCAATATTTGTGATGTGTTGCTATGGTCTCTTTGCTAACATTTTATTTAAAAGTTTTGCATCTATATTCATTAAATAGTAGTCTCTAAGTTTCTTTATCTTTTTGACTTTCCCTGGTTTAGGTATCAAGACTATATTTTTTCACAGAAATAACTTTACAGGATTCCATATTTTCCTATTTTTGCAAGAAGTTTATGTAATATTGGAATTAACTGTTCTTCGAATCAAACTCGTATTTTTAACACCAATGTTCTTCCAGTTAATGCTAAATGGTTACAAATCTTGGAACACTGTAATCTCCCAAGTTAAAGTTGTAGGGGACCCAAAAAGCACTAGACAGATGCATGGTAGGGATAAGCAGCCCACAGTTATGACTTGTGTTTTGGAAGCGACATTCAGGATATCATCCAGGAAACACACCATTAGAAAAGGAGGTAGATCAGTCATCTAGTAAGAGAAACGGATAACAAATGGACATCCCACTATTGCATTCTTAAGTAAGGAACCAAAATTCAAAATGGATCCCACTAGAAGACAAGTATGGAGTGCTTATTCTTCAAGGCCAATGGGGCTGAATAGGCACTTCCCTTGACAGCATATTATTGGAGTAGATCCACTTGCAGGCTAATTCTGCTTCTGAGTCCTTATGGTATCTTTCCTTCTCTCCCCCTGATGACTCCATTTTGGGTTTAATGGGTAAGTCAATTCTATCTATGTTTTATTTAATACAGTATGATTTTAAAGAAAGTTAACTTTAAACAAGGTGCCTATTCAATTGTGGTGCTGATAATACGCTCTAAGTGGTAGGCTAAGAATATTAGACTAGTCATCAAGAGAATGAATTGCTTTCATCATATCCTATGACAAAGTGCATCTAAAAGATTGGTATTCTCACTGACTATGATTTCTAGGGGTAATTCAAAATAATTTTGTGAGTGCTGCCAGAGATAATGGAATTTATGTCATAAACCAGTTCTTTAATTGGTTTAACATCAAATGTGGGAAGAATCCTGATTTTATTACTAATCAGAACAGTAAAGATCATAACATGCAGATTATCTCGACACCTACAGGTTATATAAAAACATATCATAGTGTACGGATATTAAGGTCATACCCCAATCTTGATCTCATTTTCTGTCCTCCATCCTTTGTCAAAAACAGAAACTGTAGGATAATTGGATTTAAAGTAGAAAGGGACTTCTACTGAAGATCATTTAGTCTATGCCTCTCACTTTACAGAGAAGAAAACAAAAACCCAGGGAGGTTCAGTGATTTGCGTATGGTCACACAGGACATAAGTAAAGCAGGAATTCAAACCCAGGTTCTTTGACCAGATCCAGAACTCTTCCACTATCATACACTACCTTTGGCCTACCTCACATCCTAACAGTCTTACAAAAGAGAGTCATGTACTGTGTTTTAAGTGACAAGATATTTTTTAAAAAATTGGGGGGGGGTTATATTCCTTCAAGATATATTTTTAAAACTGTCATAGAGACATAAAAATTAGCTGAGGTATCCTAACAGTAAAAATCTGTCGACTCATGAATTTTTTTTTCTCACTACTCTGGGCTCCCCTAAAGGCAAGAAAACAATTTTGAAAAGTCTAATCAGCATCAAGTTTAGGAAGGGAAGATACACAAAGGAATATTACTCTAGAATCATGAATCTAAAGCTAGGAGGGAACTCAGAGGCCATCTAGCTCAATTCCCTCATTTTACAGGTGAAACCTAGACCCGGAGCTGTGAGTTGCACAAATTCATGCAGGTAGTTATCAGAGGAAATATCTGAACCCAGGTCTTGATTCCAGAGCTAACGCTTTTGCCGCTGTGCAAAAATTACTATGGCACTTTGCTTTTATTATTTCATTTGATCCAAACAGTCTTTGGAGACAAAAAGTATTATCTCAATTTTAAAGATGAGGAAACAGTTCTCAGAAGAATTAAATAAATTACCCATGGTCACGACTAATGTCTGAATTGGGATTTGACCCAAATCTCCTCCCCCCAGGTTGGTCCACTCAACTTTCCACTATCAGGGGATGTATCTCGGGCAGGAGAGGTTGGAACCCCTGAGAAGATAGACATGTCATTAGGTTTAATAATATCAATGTGGTGCATTCTGATGTGCCTTAGTTTACAAAGCGCCTTCACATTCATAATCTTGTTCCCCCCTCTAGTGGCTGCCACAGGGATACCAGTCTTAAGGAATATGTGCTGCCCAGGGATTAAAAAGTCCACAGGTGGTATTCTAGCAAGGTAAATCAAACCAGAACCTCACGTATTCTGACACTAGCATTGCTTGCTTTGGACTTTGCATAGTAAGATATTTTGTAATTGTTGTAATACAGAGATTCCATTCTCCCACAGTATGTAAGTTCCTTGAGGAGGTTTTGTCTTTTACGTCACCAGCATGTACCACAACTGCAAGATGATTAACACATTCTTGAAAGGATCCTCAAACCAGTTTTATAGTATTTTCTTCCTTCCTTGGACTGGACCTGCTCTACTTCAGTCTATCAACTTTCTAGGAAGCACTTTTGTTGAGTCAGAAAAAGGTAGGCAACTAGGATCGATGGGATTCATACAAAGGCATAGAAGGAAAGAGGACGAGAGGAAGAGGGGGAGAGGGAGAAGGAAAGGTAGGGGAAATGAGAGAGAGTGGTGGGCTTGTTTTGCTTGGCCCCAGAATGCAGGATTAGAAGCAAAAGAAGTTATAGGAAAGCAGATTTCAGCTCATTATGTGGAAGACTGACAATCAACTACCCAAAAATTTCAGAATGCATCATTTCAAAAAGTAGTGAGCCCCCCATCACTTGAAGTTTCCAAGCAAAAGCTAGATAACAGCTTTTCAAATGCTACAAAAAGGATTCCTGTTCAGGTATTGGTTGGATTAGATGGCGTCCCTGCCAGCTTTTGAGAATTTTATAAGAATCGCGTCTGCCTTCCTAGGTAAAAGAGATGCATTTTCAGTTCAAAATCTGAGCAAAGAGAAAACAACAATCTTACACTATCAGTGGTTAAAGGGGAAATGGTAGAGTGAAAAAACCACTACCTATGGAGTCAGAGGACCTAGGTCCATACCCCACCTCTGACACTTGCTGAGTGATTATGGGCAAGTTAACTTAACCTCCTTGGCCCTCTGCATCCATAAAACAAGGGAGTTAGATAATTTCTGAGGTCCCTTCCAGCTTCAGACTTATGATCCTATACTGACCTTACTACTCTATAAAGCCAGAAGCCCTGGATCCAAAATCTTGCTTCTGCTCCAGCAATAGGCTTGGGGACAGCTCATTTCACCTCTCTAGGCCTGTTTCTGCATCTGATAAAATGAGGGGACTGAACTAGTTTAAAACTTCATTTCAGCTCTAAATTGTAGTTTGCATATTCTAAATATACCTTTTAATACGAGGGTGTTTTATCCTCCAGTGGACAGTAATGGTTTATATTTTAATAGAAATTTATCCAACATTTAGACCATAATATGAATTTATGGGATCTCAGCATACTGAATCCATAATGTCCTTTGAAGATACTGAAGTTCTTAAAATCAAAGGGTTTAAAGCAACTTGAATAGGGGAGAGTAATTAATTAAACTTTTCTGCATAAAGCAGAATTTCCTGGGTTAGCACTAAAGTTTTTGCAATAGAGTTGATATCATCTTTACCACTTTATCCTTCAATCTTTATTAATAATATAGCACTGTCCACAAATTTATAATAAAAAGTTACTCTTACTGAAGTACAATTTATAATTCAGAAATTCAACATTAATTCATAGTACTTCACATAAAATAATATAAGCCTATTGGCTTAGAAAATTACATCTATAGTATTGCCATATTTAGTACATGATTGGTAGAATTAAATAGATAACTAAAATAAATGAAATGTCAGCAAATAGGTAAAAACATTTTTTTAAAAGCAAGAATATAAAGGAATACGGAAACTGAATCACTTAAAATAAATTCTTTAAAAATGCAAAAATACTTTCCCCAAAAGTATAAAACCCAAACAAGTGAAAATAATGGAAGCATCTAATATTTCAAATTCTAAATATGACACTCTGAGATCATCTTTTCATGGTACTAAAAACAGGCCATGGTTTTATTCCATTTAAGTAAGAATACTTGCCATCACAAAGTCAAGACATTACCATGATTAATTAGATATAAGCAGCCATGTTTTCTACCCCACCCTAGCCCTGACCCACCACACACAAAAAAAAAAACCTTCAAAAATTCTTTCAAATGAACAATTTAAAACAGCCACAGATCTAAGCATCACTAAATATATATATATATATATGTATATGTATATATATATATATATATATGCATACACACATACTAGCAATTTAAGATGCACCTGCACCTTTCCACTTACGCGTCTTGCACAGAATCTGATATGAACTGATAACAAAATAGTTTATATATTTATATTATTTGTTTGGGGTTGTACTGAATTCTACTGCCCATAAAAGCAATTATCTTGGGACCATTAGGATATATCACATAAAAGCATGTTACAACAAAACATCAGAATTGTGCTAATTTCTAAATGTCTTTGTATATTATGAGAGGATGGTTATTAAGGCTTTATTGCAAAAAGTGTTCTGTACCACTGAAGACACACAAAAAAAATGTTATTCATGCACTCTTCATAGTTGTTGCTGTAGAACTAGACAGGCAGGTGCATTTTCTTCTCACTGTAAACTTTTCTCTTGAATAGGAAAGATATTTTTCCAAATTAAAGTCAGGCTAGGGGTTTCTGAGAGATTCCACCTCAAGGTGGTAGAGAGAGAGAGAGAGACAGAGAGACAGACAGAGAGAGAGAGAGAGAGAGAGAGAGAGAGTGAGTGAGTGTGTGTGTGTGTGTGTGTTTAGTAGGGGGAGGGAATATTTATATAAATTGTCCTGGATTAAAAAGTACAATAGCAAGGGAGGTGGAGGGCCTCAGAATGTTGCTTTGGGAGAAAGACTTGATTTATTTCTCAATTCCACTGACAGCTTCCTTTACTTCACTGACTACAAGCAATCCATGTCATTTTGATGATGATGACGACAATTTCTGATTCAGTTCTAGGGCTCTGGTATCTCCATGGACTTTGGCATTGTCTACAAGCATCTGTGATAAAAAACCAAAGAGACTGTTAAGAGGTCTTATAAAGGGACAAAGTTCACTATTATCATAACTAGTAAACATTAGATGTTCATAGGAAGAATATCAGACTACACAAGAACAAGATCAGCAGGAAAGTTTAGTCATCCTGTTCAATTAGACTGTTCAGCCAAAGAAAGAGTTATTTTTAAACTGTACTAACACCAGACCGGGAAGCACATTACAGTCAAATGTTCATTCGATGAGGCTCCCTCCACATGTTGTTCTTTTCAGGGACAGACAGTTCTCCCTTTCCATAAGAGGACCTCATCCCACAAACCTCACTGTGTAATGTGAAATTGCAACACTGGGAAAGGGGAAGGGAGGCAAGAAGGGTACCGTGAACCTGCGAAGGGAGGGAGCTGGTACCAGGGCCTTTGGGGGCCAGGGCCAGCCACGTGGGGGCCTGGCCTGAACCAAGAAGAAGAGCATGAGTGGGGCAGACATATGGGGGCAGACAGAGATACAGACACAGGGGTAGATGCATGACACTCAGGAGCCAGGGACAGACACGCAGCACCCAAGTACAGATGGAGTAGGGCAAAGGTCTCCTCTCTTGGTGCTAGAGGTCTCAAGCCAAGCCGCCAATCCTGTGGTGGCTATGGTGGTGGTCTCATAGCTTAGCACCTGGAGGAACTGGTTTTTTTTGTTTTTGTTTTTGTTTTTGGGGGGGGGGGGGTAGAAGAGGAAGAGTTCAAGGCCAGGAATGCTGAGCTGAGGCAGGGGAGGAGAGAAAGGACAGTACTGTACAGTAAAGTTAACATAGGTGGTTTTTTTTTGGAATGAGAATTTCTTTCAGAATTCTTTATGTAAAGTCAAATTTGGGAAATGTGAATTTACATAAAGTAAAACTGTCTGTATAGCTAAAAGGTTTTACTTGATTAGTTTTGTAATCAACACTAGAATTTCCCTCCCTCTTTCCATTTTTTAGCTGGTGGCCAACCTGGCTCTTTGATGTCCAAAATATGCCATACTATTAAAAAAAATTATTAACTCAGTGTGTAGGACTTTTCTAGCAAATACTCCATATTTCCACACATTCTACAAAATGCAGAATTCCCAACCTATTCTCCAACCTAATTATTGAATTATATCAGCTCCAGGCTTTTCTCTGAATAGGTTAATTGCATGCTTATCACCAAAGTTAAGTTTTTTGAAAGCAGGTATTTTACCCAAACTTTAATTCTGTATTTCTCTAAGAACCAAAAATGATTGGGAACAGTCATGCAAAGGTACGGAGGTGGGAGACAGTGCAAGTCTGGAGAACAGCAAAGCAATCTGGCTGGAAAACAGAGGGTATAAAAGGAGGTAATGTGGAATAATTTGGCTAGATCCAGACTAGGAAGGGCTTTAAATGTTAAGCTAGGGGACTGACATTTCACCCTAGAGACAATGAGGAAACACTGAAGGTCTTGATTAGGTTTTTGCTTTAGGAAAATTATTTTAGGAACTGCGGGGAAGACAGACTGAGATGAGAAACTAGAAGCAGAGATTCCAATGAAGAGGCTACCACAGATTCCAAAATACATTGGCGGCTGCTGGAGTAGAAAAAAGTAGACAGACTTTAAGGAATCTGTACATAAAGTGGGTGAAGGATGCCAGACCAGGATATGCAGTGGGATAGACCAGTGAGTTAATCCATCAGTACACATAATTTGGGGAGGGAGAGCAGATAACGAACCAAGCCTAGAAAGAATTAAGGTAGATTCACCAAGGCTTGACAACTGGCTATTTGGGGACGAGTAGAGAGTCAAGGCCTGAAGAACCTGGGTCACTAGAAGGATAGTGGCCCTCAACAGAAAGAGGGAAGTTTAGAAGAGAGTGGCATGGAGTATCAGTCTCATTCATGCTGTTTTGTCTAAATTTTGGGGGGGAATGCACTTAATAGCATAGGTTTCTTGGGATGTCTGTTGTGTCAAAACAAAATACATCAATTTTTTTAAAAAAGCATTTGACATGTCTACACAGACTTAAGGGCTCCCTTCTAACATATGCTTCACCATGAAAACATTAAGATCATCTAAGACTACTGCATAGAGACAACACAGACTTCTGTTCAATGATCCTCTAATTATATACATTAAATAAACACTAAAACAAGGAGGCCTGTGATCTCCAAAGGAGGAAGCACAGAGTTCAAACTGAAGAGAAATTCTCTACTGAGGGTGAGGTCCTCCAGATGCTTCTGCTACAAATGACATTGTTCTTACCGCACCAGATCCCAGAATAATACACTTGCAGACAGATGTTATTTAATGAGAGTTTGACCTAAGAATCTGCACATAAAGTGTGTGAAGGATGCCAGACCGTGATATGCAGTAGGACAGAGTGAGTTAATCCATCAGTATATCAGTATCAGTTTGGGCAGAGAGAGGAGACAATGAACCAAACCCAGAGAGAATTAGGAGGAAAAGAATGGCCTGGATTGTACTCAGAAAACTGCAGTGCTTTTGTCAACGATGCCAAATACTGCCTGAAACAAAAAGCTATTTTTTTTAAAAAAACACTAATGTGCTTCCAGTGATTTTAAATGGCACTGAGCCATGGAACATCATAATCTCTGAAGGATCAAAACTGCCAGTGACCCAAAGGTCACCAGAGACACAAATGGTAGATATAATTTGCTACAGTATGTTAAGGCTACTAATACTATGTAAAAGGTGATAAAAAAAAATATGTTAACCAAGAAATGTATTACTGGAAAAGGAGGTTGGCCAGCAGTGCATGAGAAGAGATGCATAGCCTGAGTACTGCACTAGAATACCCGTGCGATGTTAAAGGACCTAGACAGGAAGGCCTCAGGCATCCTGGATCTCTGAGATCTCTGTAGAAGAAGCACACAGTTCACAGCGTGGCTGGGTTAGTATGACCTACATCCCTGGAGAAAATGCAAATGTAGAGGAGATCGCAGATCCATCAGAGTACAAGCGTTCGGACGACTGTTTATCTTAGAAATCATGTTATCAAATTTGAGGACAACAAAGCCAAAAGGGATGGCTAACAAGCTCTATAATGGAATCTGCACCTTCTCAGTCTTCTAATCTAATAAGTCGGAATAATAGAGATTAACAGAGATAAACATAAGGATCTACACTTTGATTTAAAAAGATTAGCTACACAAGTGCAGGATGAAGACGTGGTTCAGTACATTTTACATGAACCCTATTACAATGTTAAGCATCTTGTGAGTAGGGATTATTTCCTTCTTGTACTTGTATTCCCAGCACCTGGCACAGTGCTCAATAAATACTAGTTTATTAAATGAAAATTTTTAAAGTTTTATTTTAGTAAACTTCAATGTCAACAATGTGATGTTGCAGCCAAAAAAAAAAAGCTGGTACAATTTTAGGCTGCATTAATACAAAGTGTAATGTTCAAAACAAGGAAAAGAATCAAAGGAACTGGAGGATAGTTAAGTTTCAAGACTGAAGTGGGGTGAATACAAATGCTGCTTTCAAGCATCTGAAGGACTGTCACATGGAAAAGGAATTAGATTTGTCTCGATGTGGCTACAGAAGGCAGAATTAGGAGCAAGGATGGAGTTGTAACAATTGCAGTTTTTAGCTAGACAAAAGAAGATAAAATAAAATTCCCATTATAGTTGCCTCAAAGTGGGGTGGGCTGACTTATAGATGGTGAGTTTCCAGTCAGTGGAGATCCTTAAAGCAGAAGCCTGAAGTGAGTCTGTCCTTCTTGGGCATGGGGGTTGGATCAAACAATTTCTGAAGTTCCTTATAACTGAGATTCTATGACTGATCTCTAATAAACTGTGAGTTCTTGGTAGGAAGTGCTCATCCTATTATTTTTTTAAATCCCTCTCAGCACTTAGCACAGTTTTTGCATGAAATAAGCACATATTTGGTTCACCCATTTAACAAACACCTCATTTCTTCATAGTCACTCCACTCCACAAGGCAGGCAGGGTAAAAATTACCATAGCTTCTTTATGCCTATTCTCACTTACCATCATCTAGATTAGTTATTGGTATAATCCTAGTGGGGCAGCTGGGTGGCGCCATAGTGAACAGAGCTCTGGGCCCGGAGTCAGGAAGGCTCATCTTTCTGAGTTCAAATATGGCCTCAGACACTTAATATCTGTGTGATCCTGAGCAAGTCATTTTTTGCCTCAGTTTCCTCATCTGTAAAATAAGCTGAAGAAGGAAATGGCAAACCACTCCACTATCTTTGCCAAGAAAACCCCAAATAGGGTCATGAACCCTAGGAAAAGTCAGACATGACTGAAAACAACTGAATAACAATATAATACTAGATAACCTAGGCCTTCCAATTTCTAACATGACACATGTCCCACTAAGGTATGCTGTTTTTTCTTAAAACAATTAGCATTTCTTCTATCTCTCTATTACCCTCAAAAAAAATTAGTAGTTTTTTGCTTTTATTTAGTTTTTGCATATATCTCTTTTCAAATTTTACATGATTTTCCTTTCCTTTAATTATGTTAACAAGTAACAATATTAATTTTAGGCTGAACACATTTTACTAGGACATTGTTCTGAGCCTTTGGCCCTACAGGCAAAAATGATATGCATGTTGCAATAATGGGCAACACAGGCATATGGTAAGACAACAAAATAGTGGCGATATCAAACAGCACCAACTCATTTACCTTCTTATTTCTCCTGGTTTACTACCTAAAATAATTATCTATTACCACATTAAACTTTACATCCCTTTAAAAAATTCCTTCTCTCCTTCACTTTGTAAAAGTAGAGAACTAGAAAGAAGACTTTAAAATTGCATCCTTTTAACGGAAGCAAGACTTTTTACTACAAAATCCTATATCAGCTTCAAAATTACATTGGGACCAGAAAGCTAAAAGATTTTCCTACTACAAGTTCCACTAGCTATGGGTTCCAGATTCCTAGAATTTGCCATTAACTGACATAGCTTATTTCTATTAAACCTGATAAAATTTTAAAGCACTTTGTCCCACAACAGCTTTTTTCAAATGCTAGCACTTGAACGTACTTTTAATTATTTTTAAACACAGCTAAGGCAGTCTCTTTTTTTTTTTTTTTTGGTGAGGCAATTGGGGTTAAGTGACTTGCCCAGAGTCACACAGCTAGTGAGTGTTATGTGTCTGAAATCACATTTGAACTCGGGTCCTTCTGACTCCAGGGCTGGTGCTCTATCCACTGCGCCACCTAGCTGCCCCACCAGCCTCATTTTAGCAAACATTTAAAAAAAAACCCTCTCGTGCTATCTTATTAGTGCATATCTTACTTTGTATTGTGGGGGGAAAGCTCAATAAAAACTGCCATACACGGTATCCTCTGACCATTTAAAAAAGCTTTAGAAGTACTGCCTTCCTCATCTTCTCAAAAATAAAGCAAAAACAAGTAGGAACAGAATTTTTCTCCCAATACTGTGATATCCAACAAAAACATTAGATTCAATATCATTTGAAAGACTTCCCTTTAAATGTGAATTATAAAAAAACTTATTCTCCCTTTAAATAAATCATATGTGGAGGCTCAAACTTTATAAGGAATGTCAATGTCAATATCTATTACCATTTCCCTCTCTCAAGGGTTCAGACTAGTTTTTGCTCTTCCTTTTTCCCCTGATTCTTGTGGTCCCTTTTGAAACATACCCTCCCCAGCATACCCCCTACCCGACCCCCACCTCCACACACACACTCTCTCTCTGCCATCACTGCTTAACAGCAGAGGCAAATAGGAATGAACTACGCTCAAAAGAATACCAAACCCATTATTAGTCAGATGGGAATTTCTCATGATTCATGGCAAGATGGCAACTGGAAAGTGAAACTTGTAATTGGTGTGTGAATACTCCTAAACCTTTAAGAGATTCCACTGCAGATATTTTTTATTTGCCAGTACCGCATGTATATTTTTTTAATAGGAGAATTATAAAATCTAATGCTAAAATCATTAAGCCAGAGATGAACTGCCTTGAAATAAATCAATTACTTACATCGATTAGCTCATAATCATCTTTGGCATATAAATGTCTCAGCAGGTACCAGCGTGCAACTGATATGATGGATTTGGGATACCCAGGCTTATACACTACTCTCTCCAACAGCCGCCGTGTCTCCCTGGGAAAACAGAGTTGATATTTATATGAACTTAAGTAGCACCAGTTATTTCATACCATAAAATTCCTAATTCTCTGATTTGTTCTTTTGCAGATACAGTGCTATGGAACTTAATGAATTTTTAATTCAAATCTTTCAAAATGAAGAAAGCAAGGAATTAATTCTGATCTACAATGGAGCAAGGGAAAAAGCAAAAAAAATTGCACAAGAGGTTAATAAGAACGGTCTGATCCCCTACTAGACTATTAGCTCTATTTGTTCTATCTAAACTTTGTTTCTCCTCTGGAAACTAATACAACATTTTGCAGATAGTAAGTGCTTAATAAACATCTATATAATTTGATTATATTATACAATGTTGGTATTTCTGGGGGGAACACATGGAATATCTGAACAGGTTTTATGTAATAAGCTCTGTTAAAACCAAGGTTTTTTTTTTTTTTTACCTTTAATTATTTTCTAATATCTAGGCTCCCTAAATCACTGCCACATCAATGTATATTTATTTTTTAATATCTGATCTCAGAAGAAGAAAACAGACCTTTTTTTGGTGTAATCTGGATAAAATATCCCTTTTCTTGTTTACAAGGGAAAAAAGAATACTAATTACTCAGTAATTTAGTTTTTAGATATCCTTCAATAGCTAGCCCTGGAATAGCTTTTAATAAATAAATGCTTATACATACATAGATATAGATTTTTTTTTAACAAGGGGATGGGGGATGCAAATAAAATATTAAAGCTATTAACATATTACTACCATAACAACTTCCTCAATTTCTATGCAATCAGTCAAATGCTTAGAGGGGGACAGTACTTCTATTTATTTGCCTAATATCTGACTAAAAACAGAGTGGAATAGTTTAAGAGTTAGTCATCTGTTCTCTTAAAGCTTCCACTCATCCAAACCCACTAAGTGCTACTGCTACTTCTCTGAACCTCAGTAGAGGTTTCTCATCTGATCCAACCTTGCAGGTGAGGCAAGAATCCCTTTTATATCATCCCTGAAAGAGTCTGCCTCTGCTTGAAAAGTTCCAGTGAGAGAAAGCCCAATAATTTTTAGTGCAATTATTCTATTCTGGGGGAAGTTCTGTTAGAAAAAAAAAATTCCTCATATTGAGCCAAAATTTCCTTCTCTATTACTTATGGTACTTGCTTCTAAGTCTGCCTTCAGAGCAGCACAGCACACCACTACATGGTAAAAGGCAGGCACATAGCAAATGTTCTTTGAGTTAAACCTAACATGAGATGTGTGTTTGATCTTTCACACATAGGCCTTCATATGTTTAAATGATACCCACCTGACGACTTCCCTTTTCCAAGCTAGACATGCCCCACTCTTTCAACTACCTCTCAAATGTCATGGTTTCCAGATCACAAATTAGTATCACAATGCTTGGCTTAAAAGAAGAGATTCTGAATTGAACACAATACTTTCAATGTGGTCTAACTACATATCTAATAAGATAATAAGAATTATAATCTTCCTTGATCTAAGTACAATAATTCTCTATTAATACTGCCTAAGATTGCGCTAGAGAGCAAGAAATGACCTTGGAGTCAGAAATATTTGGGTTCTGCCTCTTGACACATATGACTTTGTGACCACTGGCAGATTACTTAATCTTTCAGTGCCCCAGGTAACTGTACAAGACCATAAATTACAGACAAGTTGCTAATATGCACTGATGGAAAATTTCCACAGCAGGAGTATTCTACATCTCAGAAATCAAAGGTCTAGACCCTCACTCTTACCTCCTAGTAGACTGCATTAACATTTTTTTTAAACAGTTAGATTATACCATTGGCCAGCAGTCAACTAAAAAATACCTTGGTTTTTCTTCCTCTCCACATTAACTATTGTCATATTCCACATGGTACATCTATCTCACAGGACATCAGCACTTTACATTTGTCCTAACTGACTTTGTTGGTTTTGGCCCACAACTCCAACTTGTGAAGATCTTTTGAAGCTCTTGATTCTCTCCTCTGGCATATTAGGTGGAATTCTATATCCTGAAAATTTGGCAAATATGCCTTTTAGGCCTTCATCCAAATAAATGACAGAAACGTTGACTAGGACAAGCTACAGAGTAAGACTTATGGAATGTAACCAGAGGCACTTTTTCAGGCTGACAACAATCCATATATATACACACACACAAACACACACACACACACACACATATATACACACATATATATACACATATATATATTTATATGTATGTATATATGTATCTTCCTCTCAGGTGATGATTAGAAAAGTGGTAGAGAAGAATGTTAAATGGCAAAAACAGTTGTAGAGTGTAACTTGATGACATACCTTGCTCCCATTTTGCGGTGAAATTGTAACAGAGCTTGCAACAAAAGAGCCAGGGGGCAAAAGCAAAGTTTCAGTGCTTCAGCTGTAGCTTCTTGAACCAAAGATGGCCAGTGATCATTTGAAATATCAGCCTAGGAAAATGTAAAAGAAAGGAAAATATATTAATTTGAAATTTATTTCAAGTGTATCAGGTGTACTAAAATAAGTATGACAAGAAAATGTATCATTCCATTTGGATTTCAGCAAGTGTCTATCATTTGGATAGCCTTTCTTCAATGAAATATGTAAAACTTAACCAGTCTAACTAGCTTTTAACACTACACGATATGAATTAATGCTGAGTGAAGTGAGCAGAACCAGGAGAACATTGTACAATGACCAACTTTGATAGAGTTAGCTCTTCTCAGAAATAAAATGATCCAAGACAATTCCAAAAGACTCATGATGGAAAATGCTATCCAAAACCAGAGAAAGAAATATGGAGCCTGAATGCAGATCGAAGCATACTATTTTCACTTTTTTTTTCCTTCATGGTTTTTCCCTTTTGTTCTGTGTCTTCTTTCACAACACGACTAATGTGGAACTATATTTAACATGAATGCACATGTATAACCTACATCAGATTACATGCTGTCTTAGGAAGGAATGAGGGGAGGGAGGGAGGGAGAAAAATTTGGAACTCAAAATCTTATAAAAAATGAACGTTGAAAACTATCTTTACATGTAATTGGAAAAAATAAAATACTACTTACAAGAAAAAATAAAATTACACATGATCAATGTACATTCTTAGGTATCGACCGGTAGATGTTGTCAAAGAAAAGGACAGAGTTACAAACTACATTTTTAGCAAGTCCTCTCAGCGTGAAAGTGATGCCAAGTGATTTATTAATAAAGAAATTGTGTACCCAGATGTTTACAGTATTTTTCGTTTAGAAAAAAACCACTAAGCATGAAGCATTAATCAAGATTTAATTTTCTAGGGTAAAAGTCAACATGTATATCTATGTATAGGTGCCTATATCTGTGCACATCTCACCAGAAAATACATACTTTAGTGCTGCTACATTATTTAATGCCTCAGGGAAAAGTATCCATTTCCAAATGGAAACAATAAAAGAGAAAATGATTCCCTTGAAGTTTAAAAAAAAAAATCTTATGAAAATTGTTCATAATATGCCTGAAACTGTGGCCAAGATTCTAAGAGCATTGATTTCTGAGTATTTTAATGGAATAGAAATAACATTGGTTTCAAACATTAAGTTGCAATCAAAATTGAAATGGAAGTTAAACCAATAAAATCCAGATACAGTTCAACCATTAGTAATTTGGGCAATAATTTAAGAGGAAACTGAAAGTAGGAAATGAAAGGAGGACAAGGAGAGTTTCCTTTAAAGATGGGGTCAATGATACATTCCAAAACATCTAGTCAAAAAAGCAGGAATGGGTTAATACTGTTAAAATTAGACTAAACAGGGAAGCTTTCAAGAATAAAATACCTGTTTTAATCACTAAGAAATTTAGTAACTATCTTTTTAATGAGTTCTGGCATTTTTGTATGCCACTGTGGTACCATGTATAGAGGGCTACACCTAGCTAGGTCAGCAAGACCTAGATTCAAATCTCACTTTGGATATTTACCAGCTGTGTGACCACAAACAGGTCATTTAGTTTCTACAAGCTTCTCTAAGTTCCTTCATGTGTAAAATTGGGAATAATACTATCCATACCCCTTACCTTGAAGGATTGTGAGGTCTGAATGAAATAATGAACGTAAACCATGTTATACGCTATAAAAATGCTCTACAATTGTCAGCCATTATTATTCTATCTGAAGACTCATCATAAAGTATTTTGTAATATCAACAAAAAGAAATTTAGGATAAGAAGAATTTAGTACAAGAGAAGATTACTATATTATCACATACAATATGACCTCATACAAGATAGCCTGCAGTCATGGATGAATTCTATAAAAATTCTCAAAGTAAGAACAAACTGTTTACCATGAAACTAGACATAATTTTTATCATAATAATACAGGACATCTATTTATATGGCATTTTATATACATTATTTCATTTGATCAAGTATCCTCAGTTGACTTATTAATTTTAGCACCTTTTTAGCCTAAGGGAAAATACTCTTGTGAGGATTATAAATTGCAAAAATCATTACTTTTATTCTAGCTTCTATTGAAAGAAAGTTTTTTTTTGTTTTTTAATTTTTTTCAAAGTTCAAGCTATCTAGTACTCAATGTTCTGCACATCTGGTACCATGTTACATTTCCAACCTCTGCCACATTTTACGCACTTCCTACACTCCAGTCAATCTGGAATACACTCTGCCGGAATATGTACCTCCTCTAGTCTCTGGGCCTTTGCTCACTGTCCCCTGTGTCTGGAATACCTTCTCCTTCACCTCTTAGGAAAGGTTGGAATCCAAATTTCACTGATTTCCTGACTGCTCAATACCACCAGAACCCCCACCTCCAAGCCTAGAGAGTAGTGACCTTTTCTCTAAGACTTCTCACAGTACTTTTTTTTGGGGGGGGGGGATGAGGGAGGGGATAAACTCTCAATCAGTGATTCTCTAATATACTTATATAATACTGTATATGACAGTTATCTGTGTTAGGAAGGAAACAAGTATTTCTCAGACACTTACTATATGCCAGGCAATATGCTAAGTGCTTTACAAATATTCAGCATGAAAGTGATGCCAAGTGATTTATTAATAAAGTAATTATGTACTCAAATGTTTACAGTATTTTTCCTTTAAAAGAAAATCACTAATAAAGAGGCATTAATCAAGCTCTAATTTTCTAGGGAAAAAGTGAATATGTCTATCTACATACAGGTATCTATGTCTGTTATTATTATCCCATATCCCATTTTACAATTGAGAAAACTGAGGCAAACAGAGGTTAAGTGACTTGCCAAGGGTCACATAGCTATCAAATGTCTGAAGCCAGATTTGAACCCATGTCTTCCTGACAAAGCTCAGGGCTCTACCCACTGTTCTACCTTACTGCCTTAGTGTCTTATTCTGATTCTAGACTCTAAATTCTATGAGGGCAAGGGCAGTGTTTTACCTAAATTTTAATTCCCCCAGTACCTGGCACAGGAGAGAACTCTGTTTACTGAATAAAAACAGGCTATCCTTAGGCCCATACTTGAAGCCCCTGTGGCTATATAGGATTAGACATACCTGTATTTTTTTGATGACCTTTGACTACCCAAGGTCATGTCCAAGTTATTATGCATCAGAGTGTAAAGGTGACCCATTTGTGGAGGGAAATGTCATTTAGGTGATAATATATTTCTAACAAGCTTATTAGGAAAACATATAGCTAATAGAAGGGTACATGGTGTAATACAAAGAGCACTTAATTGGGAGTCAAGAAACACGGTTCTAGCCCAGTTCTGCCACTTACTTTGCTGTGTGAACCTGGACGTGTTCATTTTACCCCCTACACCTCACTGTCCTCATTTAGAAAATGAAGGGGATGACAGAAGATCACTGGAGGGGGAGTGACAAATCACTGATGTATTCGGATCAAAAATGGCAATCGACGTATTAATGACCTGCTTTTGATTACTTCTTAACACATACCATCACCACAAAATATAAGTTGTTGCTGTTGTTTTGCTAACGTTCAGCTGGACAGTTGTAAAACAAAATTGTGGCCTTTACTTTTTCTCCTCCACTGAACTCTTCTCTCTGCTCATGCAGTTAACAAGTGTAAAATGACTTGATGTTTAAAAGGAAACCAAAATTGAAGAGAGAATAACACAGGAACTTTCCGAATATAACTATGTTGAAAGACTATCATCAATTTAATTCAACAATCCAATCCAATGCAATAAACATATATTATGTGAAAGGCTCGTAGGTGCTACAGATAAAAAAGACCAAATGGAAAAACAGCCCTTGCCTTCAAGAAGCTTGTATACTATTGGGAAATGGAATTAATTGTTCATTATAACAATTACAAAAGGATCTTACCCTGCAGACTTCCAGGGCAAGTAATGCCAGTCGCAGTAAACTTGAGAGTTTTCCATTCCAATGACCCTGCTGGGATGCCACCTGGAGACTCTTTCTGTAGCACATCTCTGCAGCGCCCATCATTCCCTGGGACTGGTATACCTGTGCTAACCACTAGAGGAAAGCGAGAGTCCAGGAGGTTTTAGTTACTTATACCAATCAAATGTCAGTATATTACAATTTCTGGTATTAAACTTAGTAAGCAATTTGGTTCCCCACCCTCAATCATAGTAGCTACAGCTTTTATTAAATTATAGTTTATATTGATACTGAAAGCACAACACAGGCCTAGAGAGCAGCAGATTCTTTACTCAATTCTGCAAATCCATAACCCACTTCCTTATTCTGAAGCCTGGGAGGGTGGGGTTAGATAAAGCAGTCCAAATACTCTTCTGGTATCTTTATTAAGTCAGAAGAAAATCTCTCCTGGGCTGACTTTCCCTGCAGAATTTTAGTTCATTGGATCCTACTTCAAATTCCTCTGAATTTTTTTAAAAGTGTTCTTTAAATTTAGGGTTCACACTAGACTATGTTTAACTTTCTTTCTTTACCACAAATTTTAAGATGAAATGGGTCTTGCCCCTAAATAGCAATCACTGCCATCCCAGCAACCAGTTCCTTCCTGTTGGCAAAAAAATTTTCCCTTATTTATTCCTCTACCTTTTGAAGGATGAAATTCTCCTTAAGCCAAGTCAAGAAATTCTGCATTGGGCAGAAAGAGAGAGCTCCAATAGAAACGTGGACAAGTTAAGCTCCCTATAACTGCGAGATCATACCTCCATGCCAGACTAGTAATCCATTTCCACAAATCTTCTTAGAGTTCCTCTCTTGTTCTGTGCCATAGATAATGAACTCCAATGGCAAAAATGTGTCTATTTCTGACCTCACTGCACCCAAATGTTTTCTACCATGATTTTCTTTCATCTCACTCTTAGATTTCCTTACACTTTTTTTTGGCTGAAATTAAGAATTAACTAATACTTCTACTTCTTCGAATGTTTTTATGACTTTTAGAAACTGAAGATCACCACAGCAACCTGTAGAGCTCTGAATAGGTATAGCTCATTCAAAAGCAACAACAGAGTTAAAAAGCAATGCAGAATTGCACTATCTACTGGGAAGCTATACTTACAGCAGTACATTCCATAGGGGAATCACTCACTAAAAAGTGACCAAGTTTTAGACAGTCACAGAACATAAAACATCTGATCTGACCTAGAAGAGAATGTCGAGGCTCACCTAATCTAACTCTTTAATTACACAGAAAAACAAAAAAAATAGAGGCCCAGAGAGGCAAAGTGGTCATACAGCCAGCTAGTGACAGAGCTAGATTGAGAATCCAGCTCTCTAATCTTCTGACTATAATCTTTATTTTAGCTATTTAGACCATACAGTGAGTTTAAGTGACTTGCCCAAGACAAAGTTGATTAAGAAATGCAATATCCCTTCAATTCTACCACTTACTCAGGTATTCTAAGGTGCCTAATTAGAGCCAGAAAAAGAGAAAATAATTTACCTGCCAAGCTGAAAAAGATGTTGAATTGGACACAACTGTTTTTTGCAGCTCTTCCAGGACAGCATCTGGAAGATGTTTCTGTGCCTGCAGCAGAGGTTTACACTGAATTTGCCTTAAAAGCAGGAAGACAGTTGGTTGGTCATGGCTACTTTTTAAATGCTAAAAAAGAAAAAAAAATAAATCAAATCAAAATCAGAAGGACATTGAACAACTTCTTAAATTCCAAATACAAAAAAAGTCATTTAGCTACTTTCCCAAGTGAGGAAAAAACTCTGCAAATATATGGTTTAGTCAATAAAATAATGAAAGTATATTCATTCTTTAAAAGCTATTAACTCTGCTATAGTATGGTTAATACGGAAACTTCAGATATAATACAGAACATACCATCTAATTCACTACTTGCTAGTCAAATCAATCCATAATTGTTTTTTTAATCAGTCACCCTAACATATATAAATTCTAACCTTAAATATTGAATTACATATTTCATATATGAAGATGACATAAATGACACAGACATCCACTTTATTTCCAACAGTGGTAATGGATTTGTATTGACTAGTTCAGTTTTCCTTGTAAAAGCACATATGGACGGCCTCCCACTTATCAATGCCTGACATAAAGTCTATGCATTCAAAAAGCCTGCATCTCATTCTTCCAGCTCTGGAAGAAAGGAGAGAAAAAAATAAACAACAAAAAAAAAAAAACAAAAAAAATAGAGACAGAAAACAAAAACAAAAAAACAAAAAAGCCTTGCTGCATTTAGAAAATCTATAGGTTCAGAACTTTAGGAAGCAAAGAAATTGTGAGAGGAAAAAAACACTGCTTAACCTGACTCCAAAGCAGGGCCTGGCCTACATAAATGGTTCTGTCCTAAAATACCTTTCTCCAAACAATCTAAAACTTTTCACTTTTCTGTTCCCCTATCTGAAATCTCACCAAAATAAAGAGATTTGATGATGTCATTTTAAATAATACAAACATTGAAAGGAGAATAAGAAGGTACCAACAGTCCTTAGTGTGAATTAGTTCAGCTAGGCACTTAAATATTAAAAGAGAAAAGAAAAAAAAAAGAGGTAAAGATGGTGATAGTGGCCTATGTAAGTAAATAATAATAATAATACTAAAACAAGAGCTGACATTTATGTAGTGTTTTGGGGTTTAGAAAGCCTTCATATATTATGTTTGATTTGACATAAATAAAAACCTTGTGAAGTTGGACTACATTACTTATGCCCATTTTACAGATAAGTAAATTAGAATTCAGGGAGTTGAAGTGACTTATCCCTTACTGGAAAGCTAGTGAAGGTCACAGGCATAATTAAAACCCAGGGCTCACCTACACCTATACCTTTCCACTGCACTTAGGAAGGAGGGGATGAGTAGATAACTTCAGGGATGAGGGTGTGTAGTGGGGATAATTCTGTAGTATCAAATGAGTAGGACGCTGTCAATGTCAATGAACCTAAGAAAGGGTCAACATCAAAGACAAAAACTATCCATCTAAAAATTTTGTCTGGGTCAACCCTGGAAATGTGGAATACATTTCTTGTCTTTACCTTCCTCTTTCTCCTCTCTTCCTCCTTTCTCCTCTCTCCCCTGCTCCCACCACCCATAATCATGGAAGAATAGTTACTACCATACTTCAGCTGTGTTAGGAGGTATATAAGCTTTGGTAGACTTGGGAATCTACCAACCACTTATAATATTGTTTATATGAAAAAAAAAGTTCTAAGTTCCAACAATCAACTAACATATGAACTTTTGGAACATCAGACTAACCAAGTCTAGCTGATGATCACATTAAATTTGAGTTAAGTTAATTAGCTTACATGGGTTTCAAACCTATAATCTTGGTCTCAATAGTTTCAATAGTTAGTAACCTAACATCAAAGTATGAAAATTTAACTCAAAAGCTGAAAATAGTTAAGGAACAATTTTGGTTAGGAAAAAAAATTATCTATTCTTATTGAGGAACTAACAATTACAAAAGCTTCAGGTAATTCGGAAAAATCTTTGTAATTTTCAAACTCTCTTAAGTACGATTAAATACTGTTCCTTAATTTTTTAACACAATTAAATTTGATTTAGTCTGACACTTTGATTTATGACCTCAGCTAAGACCTAGAAAAACAATTAGTCAGGAGATAAATAGCTTAACTAACCATAAAAGTAAAAAGTTAACTTCAAACCACCATACCCTGATGGAACATACTATATTACCAAATTATTTTTCTATAAGCAAGGATTTTCCCCTTTCTTCCCATCAAAGGGGAGATTCAGAGCTATCAAATCCCTTAGATGTCAAGAGATATAAAAATGATACATTTTCTTCACCCTCTTACACTACTTCCTCTTGCTCTAACATGAGATTTTAAGATTCTAATGACAAGAACATGTCAATTAATTTTTTTCAGAGTCAAAGTCTCATGGCAGACCAAAAAGAAACAGTATTAAGCAAAGGGGGAAATGAGAGGTAATGTAACATACTAGACAGAAGGGTGGACCTGGAAAAAGGAAGACCTGGGTTCAAATCCCACCTCTGCATTCACTAGCCGTGACCATGGACAAATTATCTAACTTCTTGAACCCTTAAGCAACTCTCTAAATTATAAAACTTATTCATGAAATTATAGATGGGCTTCAGTCCACAATGGTGGAAGGAGTTCCTAAGCTGATGAAATCACAGATCACTGATGGCAATATAATAGTAAAGTTTTGATAAAATTTTACCAGCCTGGAAATGCTTTTCATATGATCCTGGTTGTACAGTGTGTCTCTGACTCAAGCTGCTCGTTCTGGATAGTGTGGAAAAACTCTGATTGATGGTTAGATACCAAAGAATTAATTTTGTGGCCACAGAAATCCCAAAGTGAATGATTATTAGGAAAAGTTGCAATCTGTGTTTGGGCATGGGAGTACCCAGATCACTCAACCCATCTATCAGAATTATGCATCTGTGATTGGGTAGAAATATGAAAGGTGTAAAGTAAAAAGGCTAAAGTCTTTATAAATGGAATCTAACATTACAATGACTTTAAAAAATCCTTTTTCATTCCCAGCAGCTTAAGCAATTTTCTGAAAGTCTTTAGGTACTATCTCAACTAACAAGGGAGGGGCTAAGATCACAAAAAAAAAAAAAATCCCTTAACATAGCAAGTGGCAAAGTTTGGGGTAGCTATCAAAAGCAAAAATACTGCCTTGTTCACAGTGCGAAGGAGATACTAGTGAAACCTTCCTTCTTAATGGCAGAGTATTCTTGATTTCAAAATCTTTTCCAAATGGTATCATGACCCTTACTCCTACCCCTCCGCATCACTGGTGCAGTATTCTTACCACTGTACCGTATTTCCTCCAATAAGGTTTTATTCTAAAAGTAGAAGCAATAATTATAAAATGTGCTCTTCTCCAAGTACTTCAGGTATTGAGAAGTCATTGCATTTTAGCCTATCACAGTACCTTTGTGCAGAGGGCCTCAGCTTCTGAAATTTTCCCTTTTTCTATTAAACCAGTGAGAGCTTGACAAAGAGACCACTTTTCAATAGTCTGAACGTAGCTTTCAGGAAGGTCTTTTTCTTTGACTGTAAATAAAAACAAGTTTATTTTTCTTTCCAATTTTAATTTATGCTTACGCAAAATTAATAAGTTGCTAAAACTTGTCCAATACTATCATTATGGAAATGTAACAGGGAAGAAAATTTCCTGCTCCATGAATGACAGCCCTTACAGTCAAAGCTAAGGGTGTCAAAGGCTTGAGGATGCTATATGTGTTTGGAAGGCAACAACAGTGCAGACCTTACTATACAACAAAGCCATGCTCAGTAATCCTCACCTAAGATATATAGATGCCTTTCTGTTTGGATAACTGATTCAGAAAATGACTGTACAACTGACTGAATCCAGACTCATCCTATGGCCACCTTTGCTGATAAACAAAAAAGAAAAAATAATTTCATAGTGTGCTTATCTTTGGTCTCTAATTTCTAACACCCTAGAAAGCTAAAGAGTAAACTGATGATAAATACTATCAAAGAGGCCCCCTGGGGAAAAAAAAAAGGGAGTATAAGAAACATCTTATATTTAAATTACCATAAGCTTAAAAAAGGCCAGTGATATCAAAGTCACACACACACACACACACACACACACACACACACACACACACACACAAAACATACCTGACAGATAATGATTTGGGGCCAACCCTATACTACCTGTGCCTTTTACATAAAACTACATCATAGCTTCTACCTAATTATACTACAAACTACAGAACCCACAATAAATCTGAAAGGAAATATAGTTGAATAGTGGAAAACTACCCCTCTCCACCCTGCCTGCCTTTAGGACAGGGATTGTTTCATTTTTGTCTGAATCCCCAGGGTCTACCATAATGCCTGAAATTGCATTAAAACATCTTTAAAATCTTGATGAAGGGCCAGTGAGACAGCAAAATTGTCTGATGAATATCTGATGCTGGCCCTGGCACCAAAGGAGTTCTTCCAACTCTCCATGTTTAGACTTAACTGGCTGCATCATGACTGGGGTTTTCAAAAGCAGTTAGGGTTTACACACACACTAGACTGAAGCATCTGGCTCCCTTCAACTACGCAGTATAAAACTTCATAGTCCCCTATCATCATTCTAGCCAACTGCCTAAGACATATATACAGCCTCACTCCTCCCAAATCTGGCCAAGCAAAGACTCACGGTGGCTCTGAATCAGAGGGCACATGTTTTCTCATACCAATTATTTGGGTCAATACATCCAATAAATTAGTTTGTACACTTTCAACAAAAGTACAGTTAGATTAACTTGGGTGGGTATAGTTATCTCTCTTCCTTTAAAATCCCCAACCCCATCATTGTTCTCTATTCTGAGACTATGCTATTGATATGTCTTCTTGATCCTTTCCCATTCCAGTGGACTGAATCCTTGCCTAAGAATATCAAAGGATTAAAGCTATGGGTAATCCTTTGTTCTTCTGATGGTTAAAGAAATAGCTCGGGAGGAGAGAACTACTAATATGGAAAGGGTCATTGGACAGAGTAAAGAACACAACAGATTTATATTACATTACAACAGTGATCTGCATATAGAACATGAAAGGCTCAATGATATCATCTGTGTAGGGAATTCTTAGTATAGAAACTCCCTCTACCAAGAAACTAATAGGTAAATCCTAGGGAGTTACCTGAGGCATGAAGTGGTTAAGTGACTTCTGCAGGATGACACAGCTAATAACTGTCACAAGTAGGATCTGAACTCAGGTCTCTCTGAGTTAAAAAGCCATAGTGTTCTATACCCTACACTACAGTTGTCCTGGCTCCACTTTTCTTGCATATAATAGTGTTTGGGTCATTGTCCGCTGATTAATATTGAATTGCTAAGGGTTTCCAGTACATATTTGGGAACTCAGGACATTCCTAAAAATTTCATTTGAAAACCAGTAAACTGAGTTGTTACAACCCCATAATAAATGGTATAAATTCTTTAGTGTAATGGAAGCAATCAGAAGTATGGGGGAAAAAAATCAAAGTTCTAGTATTAAAAACACTTAAAGCTATATTGTACTAAAGTAGATAACCAATTTTGAAAATAAAAATTTTAATTTAACAAATTTAATTTTATCAAAATTTGATTTATCAAACAAATGAAAAAACAACAGCAATGTTACTTATTTTTTGGTGCTTTTGAATTTAATTCTGCATTTGGCTCTTTTGGTTTTGTCAAGGTTTTGTCACGTACTACAATCTTCTCTAAAGACAAATATAATAGTGTCATCAAGGGAGCTGCCTGCCACCAGCTAGCTATCACTGATAGCCAAGAAGAAATAGAAAATGACAGAAGGTTGACACTGACCAACCAAATTATAGATAACCTAGGGATAAAAGAAAAAACTACCACCAAATTAAAAACCAGAGTAAAAAACCAAAAAAAAAAACAAAACAAAACTAAGGGCCTATCACGTTTCTCAGGCTGAAAGATTTAAAATATCAAAACACAAGGACAAGGAAAAGAATTTTTATGTTTCTATCACTTCTGAATTTCTCTCAGTACATTATTAACTACAGTTGTTTAGATCAACTAGATAAAAACTCCAGAAATGGTAAAATTTAAAAAAAAAATCTGGTATTTGGACTGGTTCCACCTGTTTTTTGCTGATAAAGTTTCCCTTTTTTATTCTAATAATTCTCAGTAAATTTGCTAATTTACACAACCCAAAATAAGACCTATCAAATTACTAAGACCTATATTTTGGTCATATTATAATGGGTGGAATAAAATTTATAATTTTATATTTCCTAAAATAAGCAGAGCTGTTGATTTTTTTAAAAAAGTTTTAAGACAGACATCCAACAATAATTATAATTAAAACTCTTTAAGAAATGCATTTTACATAATAAAATATTCCAAAATTAATATTTATTTCTTTGCATTTAAATACCTAAAGTTCAATACTAAGTTCAATCTAAAAGTTTTTTAACTATAAAGTTAAAAAAATTTTTTTCACTTACTTGTAGCAGAAATAGTGGTTAACAGTGCTATGTCTAGCTCTGTCCTCTTTGGCTGTGTGTTATTTAAGAGAGCCAACGTGTTGTCAGCATAACAGGCTGCCATTAGCCCTGCCCAGGCAGCAGGATCATCTAAAAACAGAAACCATAATAAAGCATAAACTTCATTAATATGCCAATATTCTCTATTAAGAACTGCTAAAAGGCACTATATTTGTAAACAAAGGAAACCATTTTTAGCTCCTGAAAATCCTGAGTGAAGAATTCAATGATTTAAAGAACAGTTCAGTGACTTGAAGGAATTTTGATTAATCAAGGTCACAATATTGACAAAAACCAAAAGGAGACTCATCACAGCATTTATCTCTCAAGATTTACTAGTAATTTATTCATCCATTCCTACCCAAAGAATGAGAACACCTTAAAAAGGCTCTGCTTCCATAAGTCTCTATTGATAGATAGTTTGTTTAAATAATTTGATTAAAGCACCATGCTAATGAGGCCAAAGTCAAGATCAAGGCATCAAATATGAGTCAAGTAGCTTTTGTCTATTTCCTGACTATCACCCCTAATTCTACCTAGTTATCCTATAGATCCATACTTATATAACTGGGTCATTAAAAAAAATTAGTGTGGATAAGTCAACAAAAATTATCCACCTTTATACCGGGAAAATAAAGTACAAATCTTAATGATAGTCACTCAGTAGCAACATCCTCAAATATAAATTAGTAATTAAATTCAACAAGCATTTATTAACCATTTTCTACAAGCCCTGACACTGTGCAAAGCTAAATCTGGGATATGACATGTAATAAGGGGAAATATCCTACTAGAGGAAGCAACACAAACAGAAGATCAATTGGGAGTGCAGTATAATGGACAGGTCACTAGGGCTGAAATGAGCCTCAATTACTAGCTGTGTGACCCTGGGCAAGTCATTTAACCTCTCTGTGCCTCAGTTTTCCCATCTAAAAATAAGGGTTCTGGACTCAATGGCCTCTAAGGTCTTTTCCAGTTCTAAATCTATGATCCTAAGATTCAGTTCTATCCTCTTATTTTACAGCTAAAGAAAATGAAACCCAGAAGAGGCCAAATCAATTAGTTATTCAACTAGTATTGATAAGTGCCTACTTTGTGCCAGGCATTGCACTAAGCAGTGGGGATATCAAAGGTCATAAAAGTATCAAGTTTCCCATCATTTCCCACCTGGATGCTCTCCTGGACTTCATCATGGTCTCAGAAAATATCATCCTGAGAAATCTTTCAGTGTGGTTATGGACAGGGTGGAAGGTGAACACTGGCGAGCTCCTCCCTCATCTCTATTTAAAGAGGGCTCCTACAGCAACCATTTCATTATTTCCAACCTGGCTGCAGGATCTCACATGTCCCATGTACCTGGTACCTCCCCTAACCCCTAACACCTCTTTTTTCAGCTTCTTTACAAAGGTTGACTTTCCCATTAGATTGTGAGCTCCTTGAGGGCAGGAACTATCTTTTGCCTTCTTTGTATCCCTAGTGATAGAAAGTAAGCACTTAAATGAAGATTTATTGACTATCAAATGACAGAGGTGAGATTTAAACCCAGGTCCTCTGACTCTAGATACTCCAGATGCTCCTTCCACTTGGGCTGAGCCTTGAAGAAAGCTAGGAATTATAAGAGGCAGAGATGAAAATGAAGTACATTTCAGGTATGGGAGACTGCCTGTGCAAAGGCCATTCCTTATTCTTCCTTTTGTGTTATAATGGCTGAATGTGAGAGCTGCCATGTTATTAGAAACGAGGACCTATATAGTAATATCTAATGTATTTATCCCTCATCAACTGTCTGATATCCACATCTGCTTGACTTTTATATAAGCAGGAGTGTTTTTGTTAATTAATCTTGTGCAGGTTAAATCCTGTTTTGAGAAATGACAATTGCAATGAAATTCCAAATATCAAGCAACATGGGCTACATCCAAATTCCTGTACAACCAAAAAATTCAGGGAGTTCTTTGAAGTTTATTGCATAAATAATAAATAAATCAAACATTTTTCATTTCATAATTTATTTCAATCCTTCAACAACTGAAATAAATTCAGTTGTGTTATATTTTTTTGTCATACCAACAATTTAAAAATCTAAACTAGGAGACACTAGTTTAAAAGTATTTTATTTTCCTGGTGAGGCAATTAGGGTTAAGTGACTTGCCCAGAGTCATAGAGCTAGTGAGTGTTATACGTCTGAGGCTGGATTTGAATTCAGGTCCTCCTGACTTCAGGGCCAGTGCTCTATCCACTGTGCCATCTAGTTGCTCCTAAAAGCATTTTTTAAAAAATCTTTTGGATGCCAAGAGCTTTTTGTCAAATATTTATAGTAAGTATATTATCATCCACTATAATTAACCTTCATCAAGTGTCTGATATCCATATGTACCTGAAGGAGTGAACTAAGCTATATGGTGAGTAAGCTATTAATTTTGTGCAGGTCAAATCTTGTTCTAATAAATACCAAGTACAATGAAAAGCTCTGAATACCAAGTCAGTCACATACAGTGTATCACCTATTAGCAGCAAAATGGGCTACATGCAAATTTCAGTATTACCAAAGAATTTAGACAGTTCATTTAAGTCTATTGTAAATAATAACAGTTGAACTATAAAATTACTGAAAATATGCCAGCACTATTAAAATAAAATTAAGCTAAAAAGAACTAGTCTCCATGTTCTAAACATCATTCTTCATATAACAAAATGTCTATAAACTGTCACCTTGTTCATTTTAAAAGCCTATATACATTTCTGTAACAGAAGCAAAAATCCTTTAAAAATCTAAAGGAGGGTCATATGCTAATTTCAGGAAGCAGGGCAGCAGATAGGAAAGTGGGGAGAAATCTACCTATACCTACAGTTAAATTGGGATAATAGGAGAGGAGTGGTAGCAGTGAAAAACTAAGAGGAAGTCAACAACCAAAGGCTTATTTTAGGGAGGGATCTTCTATAGTTTAGATTACACACATATTCTGAAAATATAACTCATATTACATCAATCAAGCAATGAAACAATCCACGAGCATTTATTAAGCATCTATTATGTGCCAAGCATTGTACTAGAGATAGGTATACAAATAAAAGAACGAAATAATCCCTACAATGGAGTTCAATCAGAAAGACAACAAATACTTGTGTGTGCGTTCAGAATAAAAAAATAAATACAAAAAAGTTAAACACAAGGTAGTTTGAGAGGGAGGAAACTAGCAGTTGGGGGAATCAGAAAAGATTTCATATTGTCCTTGACTACTATCGTGAAGGGGAAGAGCAATTCTATGCTGTAAAGATACAAAGGGAATCATTCCAGATCTGGGGAACAGTCAGTGCAAGGGCTGAGGAAGGAAGGAACAAGAGTCTACTATGTTCCAGGAATCATACAACTATTATCTCACAACAGCCCTGTGAGAGGTGCTAATAAAGAGATAAGAGAAGTATTTCCTGTAAGTATTTCATGTTACAACAAGGATGGAAAATTACGTTGAGGCCAGGTTTTCTAAGGTTTTAAAAGCTCGAGGAGTTATATTTTATCCTAACAACAAGAGAAGTCCCTGGAGTTGATTGAGGAGAGTCATGGTCACATCTGAATTTAAGAAAAATTCCTTAACCAGCAGTGTCCAGAATGGTGACAAAGCAGACTTCATCTGGTAAGTCAGAAGCACAGCCAGAAGGTGAATGAGGTTGCAAAGAGAGAAAGAGGGCCTAGGACTGAACGTGAGGGAATGCCCAGTTAGGAGGCATGATGAGCCAGCAAAGGAGGCTGAAACTGTAAGAGCAGCTGGGGAGGAGCAGAGGGGGGGAGGAGGAAAGAAGAACATCACAACAATCCGAGGGAAGAAGGGCGTGCTCAAACGCAGCTGAGCGGCCAGAAGGTTAAGGACTGGGAAAAGACCATGATACTTGACAATTAAAAGACCACTGGACACATGACCACTTTGGACAAAGAAGTTTCAATTACGTGATGAGGTTAGAAGCCTGATTGCAAAGGGTTAAGAGAGGAAAGAATGTAGAAGCAATGAGTGTGGGCAGTGTTTTCTCTAGGAGTTTGGCTCACAAAGAGTGGAGAGCTATATGATGTTAGCTTAAGAGGATGGTAGAGTTTAGTGAAGGCTTTTTTTTGGTGCCTTTTTTTTTGGGTGAGGCAATCGGGGTTAAGTGGCTTGCTCAGAGTCACACAGCTAGTGTCAAGTGTCTGAGGCCAGATTTGAACTCAGGTCCTCCTGACTCCAGGGCTGAAGCTCCATCCACTGTGCTACCTAGCTGCCCCTGGTGAAAGCTTTTTTAAGGATGGGGAGAACTGGGCACATTTGAAGATAATAAGGAAGGAACTAGTACATAGCAAGAGGTTAAAGACTGGGGAAAGGGATGGGAGAATGATTGAGGGGGCATCTGCTGGAGAAGAGGGAGGGGAAAGGATAAAAGTCATATGCTGAAGGGCTGGCCTTGGCAAGAGCCACCTTGTTACCAGAAACTAGAGAAAGGGAAGGGTTAAAGAGGAGGGGAAGGATGATGTCAAAAAGTTTTGACCTGAGAAGTGGAAAATAGAAAGGTCATGGCAAATAGCCTCAATTTTTTTAGCAAAATAAAAGGAAAAGCCTTCAGTTGAAAGGATGGGAGATTCTTGAGGAGAAAGGAGAATATCTGGGATCATATTTGTAATGAATGAGATAAGGAATCAATTGAGGAGTAATAATAAAGGACTGCAGCAAGGTGGCAGAATGGAAAGACAGCTGGGCCTAGAATCGAAAGACCTGAGTTCAAATTTGGTATCAGACACTTACTAGTTTGTGACCCTGGGCAAGTTATTTAACCTCTATTTGCCTTAGTTTCCAAAAATGGGGATAATAATAGTACCTATCTCTCAGGGTTGCTATGAAGATCAAATGAGATGATATTTGTAAAGTGCCTGGCACATAGTAGGTGGTATATAAATGTTTATCTCTTTGCTGCAGTGAGGACCCAGGTGAGGTAAACTAACAAACTGTAGTGTACCCAATAAGCCAGTTTGGGAACTTCCTCCAGCTCCATTCAGCAGCATCTAAGTAGGAACAGAGGAGATAGATAGTGGGAGTAATCCAGAGTACATATTGAGTATATACTTACTTTGTAGATATTTAACTGTTACATCCAGCCCCTTGCCTCTATCCACACAGCCAAAGCCCTACACCAGGCATTCAGATCACCTTTTTACAACAACCACAATGGACTCTTAATTGGTCTCCCTGCCTCAAGTCTTTTTTCTCATCAATCCATCCTCCACATCACTGCCAAAGTGATTTTCCTAACATGAAGGTCTCATCATGTCAATCACCTACTTAATAAACTCCAATAGCTCCCTTCTTCTCTTATTGTTGAGTCATTTCAGTCATATCCAACTCTCCCTGGCCCCATATGGGGTTTTTCTTGACAAAAATACATGACTGGTTTGCCATTTTCTTCTCCAGCTCATTTTACAGATGAGGAAACTGAGGCAAACAGACTTGCCCAGGGTCACACAGCTAGTAAGTGTCTCAGGCTGGATTTGAACTCAGTTCCTCCTGACTTCAGCACCAGTACTCTATCTACTATACCACCTAGCTGCCACCTTTTACCTCTAGAATCAAATAAAATATAAGCTCCTCTTTTTAGCTTTTAAAGTCCCTTACAACTTGGTTTCAAACTACCTTTCTTATAGCCACATTGACCTTATTAATGCTGCTGACACACAAAATCTCCCACTTCCAGCCTTTGCACTGGTTGTCACCCACAGCACTCCCACCTTACCTCCACTTCTTAGTATTCTCTTTTTCCTTCAAAAGTGCACAAGCGATACCTTCATGATGAAGTTTTTTCTGATCACACCAGTTACTTGTGCTCCCTCCTCCCACTCACCCAATTACCTTATATTTATTTTGTTTCCAGTTTATTTTATGTACATGTTGCATCCCCTGATAGAATGTAAGCTTCTTGAGGTCCAAGGCTTCTGCATGTTTATCTTTGTCTCCCCAACAGATAGCACAATGACTATCATAAACCAAGGGCTTAACAAATGCCTACTGAACGACTAACTGAGTTGAGATTTAATTCTAGATTCTCTAGTTCCATATCCAGGCAACCTTTCCATTGTACTTCCGGGGTGAGTGACCGCAGGTAGAATGCAAACACACTGCTATGAAGGCAGCGTGAGGATCAGCACTAGATCCAGGATGACAAGACAGGAGCTCAAACTCCACTGGGGACATCTGACTAGCAGGGCGACCAGGAAAGTCACTTCACTACCCTGGAGCTCAACTTTCTCATCTGTAAACACAGAGGTTGGATTATATGACCACCTGAAAGGCTCTCAGTGAAGGCCACATGTTTTCAGATTTAGCTGGGGAAGGAAAAGAGCAAATCTTGGAAACTCCTCTGAAACCTGACAATTCCTTTGGAAACATTCTGTCACAGGCTCTAGATCAGGCCCTCGGGCCACAGGTTGTGCAGGCTGTGTGATAATCAGGCATATAGTTCTAAAACTTCCAAAAGTGGAAATGATAAATCTTACCATTGAAGTGACTAGAATATTTGTAACTGGCTTCATTTCAAAAACATAGCACAAACATCTGCCTCCTCAAATTTATCTGTCTTATCTTCTATAGAAAACAGATAAATTTGCTATAGTCAAAAGAAGACTAGCCATGGTGAATTTGTCATTGTTAAAAAAAAAAGAAAAAGAAAAAGGAAACATGTATCAATTATACTGCTCTAAACTACTCAAGAGATAACAATCCAGTGTGGATTATTCAGGTCCTCTCTCTTCTACCGGCAGCCTATTTTTGGAGGGTTCATCACTCAATAACAAGGAAGCAGCAAAGCAAAAAGGGCTCTCCTGAGTGATGATGCTTCCACATACAGCTAAGCCATGGCCATATTCTTTATGAAGCTGAATGACAGGGCCAGAATGATGCACAGATGCCACACCTGAAAACCTGATCAAAGTATTCTCACAATATCTCACACCCTCCCTTCTCCAACTAAATTTTTATTTTGATACTTTTCAGTTACATTTCAAAGAGAAAAATTATTTCCCTCTCTATTCTTCTGTCTATATTTAGCTATTTTTAAACATTTTTGAAATACCCTGAAATGCTGTGTTAAAACTGTGCTACATCCAGCTACAGAAATTCTAAGCCCTGCTCTTATGGCTATACTTGACTGCTCTAAATTTATTGCATTTTTATGTACTCACAGATTATTTCTCTAATAGGTACAAATCTACATATCTGAATGTTTGATCAAACCACTCTGCCTGATCAGCTCCCTATAATAAATATAAATCACCTAACACAGGACAAGATAATTAAAGTCACCACCATAGACCACGCTACCTTATCAATCTTCCCTTTCTAAAATGCAGATAAATCTTTGTGACTAGATCCTGCCCATTATCAAAGCTAGTAAATAGCAGAGGGGAGACTTGTTTTTTAATTAGCATTAACTCATTCCATAACAATTCCAGAAAAAGGAAATTTACCTACTTGTCTGATCTACATACCGGAGTACAAGTTATTTTAGAACTGAATTCAACATGGAAACAGATGGAAGCAGAGAGAATGAAAAGGGGAGAAGTTTTAAGAAGAGAAAGTAGGATTAATAAGGGATCAGCTATAAGCAAAACAAACTCAACAGGATAGTGCCATGTGCTCAAAGATAAAAGCATGAGAAAATCTCAGAAAGGCTGTATACTGGCTTGAGTGAAAAGGAGAAATAACACTATGAAAGGCCAGAGGAGGAGAGAAATCCTGATTAGGATCAAGAATGGTGGCAGTATAAAGAAAGGCAGGTAGGCTAATGCTGGACTCTGAAAAAAAGGGAAGTGAATTATCTTGGAGGGAGGGGAAGGACAAATTGAAAAGTATCACTTAAAGTTACGTGTCTGTTGTGAACAATGGCAAGAGGCCCTTGGCTTCCAGAGCTCTTTTCCCTCAAATACCCCACAGCTCCCACATAAGGCTCTCACCCCTCAGTCCTGATACTCTGAAAAAGCCCCATACTCCAGGCCACCGTGAGGGCAGGCCTTCTCACAGATGGGGTCGGGGATGCTGGCCTTCCAAGGTAACATGCATGCAGCACTTCAGTTCTACAAGGCAGGACTGAGGTCTGGGGGCAGCCAATCATTTCTAGACAGAGAAGTTTCCCTTGTAAGAAAACAAGTTCAGCAAACCCACTGCCACAACCATACCTGGAAGTGCAAGCAGTGTTAACTCCAAGAGCAGCCCATGTCTCCAAAGAAAAAAAGGCAATGGATTTCCTCATCTCTTTTCCGGGGGGGGGGGGGGGGGGGG